AAAATGGAATGAAAAGTTTTCCAGGGGGTAGGGAGGGGGGGGAGGAGGAAGTTGGTCGCTCACCTTCAGACACTAGCTATTTTTTGAAATACTTTTTGCTACCAAAAACGCAAAAACTGTCGCTATGTATTTAATTGTGTATACATAAATTGCTTTAAAAAAGACTAGGGGCTCTCTGAGAGAACAATTATGTTTAGTCCTTCGCTTTATTTCAATAAAATCGTGAAAACCTTACCGATTTCCCGTAAGGTACGGGTTTGTGTACTGTCCGTAGATTTGCGTTTGCGCTCCATTAGTGTATCCAGCGCTATTGTTCAGATTGAAATTAGCATTTAGCTGGAATGGGTTCGGCACCGAACCGTCGATGCCCGAAGCAGCTTGCTGAGTGAAGTAGCCTCCGTAATCCATGTTGGTCTGAAAAACATCATGGTTTTAATTAGAAAAAGTCAGATAAAAGCTTTTCGGCGTCTATCTCAAAAGAGAATTGTATGCTTGCTTGGCTTCTGTTCAAGTTATACTTTATAGTTTTTAGAGGTCTACAAAGAAATTTAGCAAAAACTTGAGGATGCGGCTCTTCGTTTACTTCTGAAGAATGTGTTGAAGGCTTCTGTGAAAGTCAGAAATTACTATCTTCTAGCATATTTTCCTTCATTATCTTGCTCAAAAAGTCTCAGCATATTTCGCTTCGGTTTTCCCAATCGCTCAATGCGCCAAGAACAAATTTCGCGCAATTTTCATGCATGGCGCGGCGATTTCTTTCACCAGAGAGCATTCTCGGGCAAATTCAACAAGAAGCGATATTTCATAAGTAAAATAAATGAGTTGCTGGCGGTAGAAACGGAATTACCGTCGCGGATAAATCCGATATGCCGCCGGATCACCGGATTATAGGGGTGGAGCCGATGTCGGTGGGCGGGCACCCGGCTGGCAGTGGCGCGCGTCTGATTGGCTGGGGAGACTGTAGCAACAGATGACTGGCTTGCCGAGGGGACGAATTTTTTAGTGAATTAATAAAACTCTAATTTCGAAGGTTATTTATGGGAATGATTCGCCCATGGTTTGTGTGAAAAGAAAATCTGTCATACGAAGGTATAGAATTTTTCGTTGAAAGAAAATTTTGTAGACATTTCTCGAGCCATTTTAACAGTACATATCATTTTTTGTTGAGCTTTATTTGTTATTAAGTTCTTCTAATATAATGATGTATTATACGCGCACTAGCGCTAATTCCACATGCGCCACTATGCCGTATGTCCCGACGTTCGTGACACCTAACAGTAATCGCCACTTAAGCATCCACTTGCCGTATGGCTCATGCTATGATAATTTGCTTGTTGAACACATGGGATTAGCGTAACCCTAGGAAATATAGAACGAAATCTGATGGTGAAAAACTTCTCAATACTTTGAATTTTGGAGCTGTGACATATTTTCATGTTTTCTTGTAAATTCAAAACCG